GTGAATTTGAGGCCAGCCTGCAGTACATAGTGAGTTCAAGGCCACTCTGAACTACATAGTGAGACTATCTTAAGAAAAAGAAATTGAAGTGAAATTTACATAACATTCAGTGACCTATTTTAAAATGTATTTTCAGTGATATTCTTCCCCAGGTTTTTTTTGTGTGTGTATGTCTACTTATGTGTGTGTATTACTTAAATTTCAGTTTAAAGCATTCTGTAATTAACATTTCTTCTTTGATGCATGCGTTATTTAGAAGCACATTGCTTAACTTTTCAGCATACAGGATTCTCTGGGTTTCCTTTTTGTCACTTATTTTTAATTCTACCAGATTTTAGTTGTTTGAAATTTGAGACTTGCTTTATGACTCAACATATGAACAACAACAAAAATTTGTGGACTAGAGTTCATAAATGTGTTGTTTGTAATATGTTAAATATATAATTTATTTTTCAAATCATTATCTTTTTAAATTTGTTCTTATTTGGGGGAATGCTTATTAAATGTACCCAGATAATTATAGAGTTGCTTGTTTCTCTGTATAGTTCTGCTTTTTTAAAAAAGAATATATTTTGAATATTTTATTGATGCTGACAAATTGTGGGTTTTTGTAGCTACCTGGTAAATAAAATTCTTTAGCTTTATGAAGTATTCTCTTTTATCTTTTTTGTTTTCAGTACTGGGGATTAAATCCAGGGGTTTAATTTTTGATTCAAGACATGGTCTTGCTAAGTTGCCCAAATTGCTCAGGATGGCTTAACTTGCAGTGCTCCTGTCTCAGCCTCCAGAGCAGCTGGGATTAGAGGCACGTGGCACTGTGCCCATTTCCTCTGTCTTTAGTAATGCATTTCACTTGATAATGTTAATTAGTGTTGGTAGATTTGTTTTCATTTGGTGTTTGTGTGATAAATCTTTTTTCATTCTTTTACTTTATGTTTCAGCTTTATGTTTTAGCTGCATCTTATAAGGAGCATATATTGGTTTTTTTTTTAATTGAGTTTGTCCATGTTTGTTCTTTTTTTTTCCAGACATTTCCAGGGTTTTATTGATTAATGTAATGATTTTAGATTATAATTATGGGGCATATTTGTTCTTTAAGTAGAACATTGAATGTATTTACATTTAATATACTTATTGATACATTTGGGCCTAAATTGATAGTCCTATAAACAATTTCTAAATATCTGGTCTGCTTGAAATTTCTTCTTTTATTCTCTTTCCAGCCTTCTCCATAACTGCTTAGTAGTTATACTGTCCTCTGTATTTGTTTCTCTAGTTTTTGACCTAGCGATTACAATATGCCTCCTTGACATGTAAAAGTGGGTGTAATATATGTTAGTTTTTTTCTTTCTGGTGATTTCATCAACTTGAGAAAAATGTTAATTATACATTTCCTCCCTTTTAGAATTAAATGGTATTACTGGATAATTTAGTTCTATGTATATTGTAATTGCCCATGAAATATTATCATTACTGTTTTGTACAATAGTGACACATTTAAACTTATTTATATATTTACCTTTTTCTTATTCTTCGTTACATCACCAGGATTCTATCTGGGTTTTTTTTTTCTCTACTTAAAAATGTTCTTGAATGTTTTCTTATTTGGACCTATGTAGTGAGAAATTTTTTTTCTCATAATGTCTTTTTAAGATCTTAACTCAAGGCTTTGGAGAGGCTCTGGATTTCTTTTTTCTTTGGCTACTCTGTGAAGCTGTCATGTTTTTTAGCTTCTCCGCCTCACAGTCACTAATTCTTGAATCAAATGGTGCCTCCAGGGAAGAAAGCTCATGTGCCAGACTCACCCTTCTGGAGTTTCTTCTTCTTCTTTTTTTTTTTTGGTACCAAGGACCGAACTCGGGTCTTTGCGCCTACGGGGCAGGCAGTGGAATCACTGAGCTAAATCCCTGGCCTAGAGTTTCTTCTTTTCTTGTATTTTGACCCCTTGATTTGTCACTGCCTGATACCTGAAAGCAGACTTTTCTTCTTGAGTATGGCTTTTCAAATTTCCTCAGCCAGAAAATTGCTTTGCTATATAGAATCACTGAAAGTAGAAAGTTATTGCTTGCTTTATTTTTAATACTTTAATTAGTTTTGAAATTTTGGGTAGATTTGAATCTTTCCCTTTTCTTACCACCATCTTTTTTTTCACTCTCTCATTACCTTCTTAACTTGTCAGTTGGAGAGCTGGGCATGGTGGTGCACACCTGGTAATCAATCCCAGGACTAGGAGGCTGAGGCAAGAAGATCCCCATGAGTTTGAGGCCAGCTAGGGTTACATAGTGAATTAAAGGCCAGTCTGAACTGCATAACAAAATCCTGTCTCAAAACAAAAAACACCCCCCCCCCAAATTGTCAGTTGGCATATGCACAGTTTAAATAGGGTCAACCTGTGTAGCAGTTAACCATCTGGAGTTGTAGGTTATAGTTGAAGAAGGAGATATTTTTGCCTTTAACATCTTGAAGATTACTATAATTTGTAAAGTCATTTTTTGGCATCCAGGTAGTAAGTGTAAATTACAATGTAAATTACATTTGTGTTCAAAGAAGATTTTCATAACATTACAATATACATTGTGATTTTTAATGTTAAGATAACGTATTTGTTATGAACTGGCTTTTTTTTTGAGGCTGGAGCTGTCACACTTCACACTAAGCTACACTCCCAGACATTTTTTTAATTTTTAAATTTAATTGTGTGACCTTGGAGATTGAACCCAGGGCCTTTAGACTGAGCTATATCCCCAGGTTTTTCTTTATTTTTTATTTTGAGACAGGGTCTTGCTAAGTCAATAAGTTGCCCAGATGGGGTTTGAACTTGTAATCCTCCTGCCTCAGCTTCCCATAGGTTGAGTCTTTTTTTAATCATAAAGGATTTTTTTGTGTGTATGGCTTGGGGATTAAAATTGTAGCCTCAGATATGCTAGGCAAGCTATTCTACCACTGAGAAAAATCCATTTATATTTTAACTGACATTTAAGATATTCTAAATTTGTGTAAAGTACAAATGAATTTTATCCCAAGTTACTTGAGAAATCAAAGCTGCATTACTAAGTTGGTGTGTAAGTCTTGTATTTGCTGAGTGTCTTCAGAGCTTAATAACTAACAAACACTTAAGACTGAGGCTTATTCCACATACTACAGGTATTAAAAATAAAACGAGTGTGCATATGCCTGTATGTCTGGGTGTGTATATATATATATGTCTTGGTGGTGACTTTTTTATGTTTTTAAAACATTATTGAATCAGAATATTTTTATTTTAATATAATAAAAGTAGATATTAATAAAGAAAATATAAAAAATAACTTCTATGAAAAATAAAACAAAAATTTATAACAATAATTACAGAATAACAATGATTAATGTACTGTGTATCATGATCTTAAAAGAATGGTCAAAATGTCACTTGAAGTACATGTCATAGACAAGAAAAGATTCTTACAGAAAAGAGATATGCACATAAAAGGATAAAACTTTCTTTTCAATGATCAAAATACTATTTTTGATATGCATTTTTAATTTATTTCTACTCTGCATCACATCTTATTTTGGAATTAGATGTGAGTTGGCAAACTTTTTGGGGAATGGCGTGCTGAGTACTATATCCAGGGCCTTGTGCATGCTAAGCACAGGCTCTACCACTGAGCACATCCCAATCCCAGCAAACCTTTTTTGGTTTTTTGAGGAGTGGGTGTTGCAGTTGCTTTTTGTATTATAACATGAGTGCAACCATAGATAGTTTGCAAATAAATGGAGATGGCTCTGCTCAAATGAAACCTTGTTTATAAAATAGAAATGTGATTTTCATATAATTCTTGATTGTAACAAAATAATCTTCCCTGATCCCCCCATGTCATTTAAAAAGGTAAAATTCATGGGTAGTATAGAAATAGGCAGTACTGCCTACTCCTCCAGTGGAGTACCTTTCCCTGAGGAAATTGAGCTATTTAACTTATCAAATTATGCAAGTAATTTTCACAAGTTTTAAATTACAGGGCAGATGTTTCTTTGCCTTTTTTTAATAGATGGAGAAAAATCTATTGGGGACCAAAATTGTTACCTCTGTTCATTAGTGCAACTAGTTTAGCTGAGGATATTTAAATTTTTTTTAAATTGTGGTAAAAACCATATGACATAAAATTTACTATCTTGATTATTTCCAGGTTCTGTAGTGCTGAATATATTCATATCATTGTACAACTCATCTCCAAAACTTCATCTTACCAGACTAACTCTGTATCCATTAAACAGCTTCCTATTACCCTCTCCCTCTAGCCCTTAGCCACCACCATACTTTCTGTCTCTATGAATTTGACTGGTGTAGATACCTCATACAAGTGCGGTAATACAATGTTTGTCCTTTTGTGTGACTTACCTTACTTAGCATAATGTCTTCAAGCTTCATTCATATTGTAGCATGTGTCAGCATTTACTACTTTAGGTGGATAATCTATAGGACATATTCATAATTTGGTGGACACTTAAGTTCCTTCTCCCTCTTAGGTATTGTGAGTAGTGCTTCAAATGGGTGTGCAGATATCTCTGAGACCCTTTCTTTTGATTATGTACCTGGAAGTGGGATTGTGGAACTATAGGGTAGTTCTTTGTTTAATTTTTTGAGAAATAGCTGTTACTGTCTTGTTTTCCATAGCAGCTGTACCATTTTATACTCCTAATGACAGCACAGTTTCTTAACATCCTTTTTGGATAGTAGCCATCCTGTTGCATTCTGAGTTGAGAACTCATTGTGGTTTTAATTTTCATTTTCATAATGATAAGTAATGTTAACATTTCTGGCTTTTTAATTAATATATGTAATTGACAGGTCATAATTATATACTTTTATGAGGCACAGTGTGATATTTTAATGTGTGTTCATGCCATGGAACAGTTAAATCACGCTAATTAACATATCTATCACCTCACTTATTCTTTTTTTACAGGGAGAGTAAATTTGAAATATGCAACTATTTTGAAATATACATTTTTATTTACAGAAACTTTGTATCCTTTGACCAACACTTCCCCATCCTCTCTCCCCTGCCACCTCTGGTAAGCACCTTTCTACTCTTTCTTATGAATTCACCATTTTAAAAGTTATATTTTGTTAGTGCATGCTAGTATTTCTTGAAGATTGAGTTTATTTGGGGAAGTTGGTATGGACATTTAGCATATCTTAATCAATTTCAATCTCATTATCTTCCTCTCCATTTTCTCCTCCTTCTCGCTTGTCCCCATCCCTGTCACTAGAAATCCTGTCTTTTCTCCTTTATTTTAATTATTGATTGTTAATTTATGTCTTTTTTAGAATTCTCACATAAGAAAAAATATTTAACTTTCTGAGTCTGGCTAAGTTCACTTAATCCAGTGATTTCTGTTTCCATCCATTTTCTTACAAATAACACGATTTCATTCTTTTTTTTTTTTTTTTCCCAGAAAAATTTAACAGGTTTATTTATAATTGTTATAAAGTTGAACTGCTGAAACTTGTTCACTGAAACATTTTGACTTGCATTAATGCTTTACATCCCCGCATTATTATTAAAAATTCACACACAAATGAAAATGGAAAAACTGCCTATACCTGATTTCTGTCCCCTATTTTCCACTCGCAATCATGTACTTAGATACCTTTTGACCCCATGGAAAAAAAATATCTAACATTCAGAACTACGAATAACAGGAAGAAGAGAAAAAGCTTTTTTGAGAATGAAATGCTTCCCACCATAATGGACTCTTAAGCACTTTCTCCATGTATGCGGCGTGCTAGCTGGATATCTTTTAGCATAATCGTTACTCGTTTGGCATGGATGGCACACAGGTTGGTATCTTCAAACAGGCCAACCAGGGAGGTCTCACTTGCCTCCTGCAAAGCACCAATAGCTGCACTCTGGAAGCGCAAATCTGTTTTGAAGTCTTGAGCAATTTCTCGCACCAGACACTGGAGAGGGAGTTTGCGAATCAGAAGTTCAGTGGACTTCTGATAACGTCTAATTTCACGGAGCCCCACAGTCCCAGGCCTGTAACGATGAGGTTTCTTCACTCCTCCAGTAGAGGGCGCACTCTTGAGAGCGGCTTTTGTAGCCAGTTGTTTTCTGGGCGCTTTACCACCAGTGGATTTGTGGGTAGTCTGCTTTGTACGAGCCATGGTACAGGGACCTCCTTACCCCCTTCTCCCTCGGCTGGAGCTCGGCGAGCTGGAGGCGGTGCTGGCTTTGGAGAGCGGCGGCGGCGGCGCGGCGGAGGCTGTGAACACGATTTCATTCTTTATGGCTAAGTTATATGTACACCTGTTGATGGGCCTCCATTCCACAGGTTAGCTGTTGTGCACTGAGCTGACACATATCGCTATAATATGAAGTCCTTAATGCTTTTGGAAATATGCTTGAGTGGTATAGCTATTTGTATGTTAAGTCTTTTGAGGATTCTCCATACTGATTTCCATAGTGGTTGTGCTAGTTTATATTTCCACCAACAATGTACAAAGCTTTACAATCCTTGCCAGCATTTTTTTTTTTTTTTTGTATTCTTGATGATAGCCATTCTTACTGGGGTAAGATGGAATCTCAGTGTAGTTTTATTTTGCATTTCTCTGTTTGCTAGATATGTTGAACATTTTTTGATGTGCTTTTTGACCATTTGAACTTCTTCTGTTGAGAAGTATCTATTTAGTTCAATTGCCTACTTTTTAAATTACATTCATTTTGGGGGGATTAAATTTTTTTTTGCCATTAAGTTTATTGATACATTTTAGGTATACAATACAGTTACATTCATCATTGGGGTCTTGTACCATTACATGAGTATCTTGGTTCTTATTTTTTTCCCCATTCCCCTGCCCTCCCTTCACCCCCTCCACCTTTCCCTATTTGCAGCGGGGGCTGGGGGGATTAAAATTCCTTATATATTCGGGATATTAATCTTCTATCAGAAGAATAGCCAAGATTTTCTCCCATTCAGTGGAAACTTGACTCTGTTACTTCCTTTACTGTGAAAAAGCTTTTTAATTTGATGTAGTCCTATGTATTGATTTTAAAATATTATTTCCTGCTTTTGGAGTCCTGCTCAAGAACTGTTTGGCTGGGCCTGAGGTTTCAAGTGTTTCCCCTATGTTGTCTTCCAGCAGTTTCAATCCTTCTGGTTTTATATCTAGGTTTTTAAATTTCTTTTTAGTACGGAGCAATATATATATTATGGAAAATAATATATACATGGAAAATTTCATGTGTATATGGAAATTTCTGATATATAGAGAAAACTGTTCTCCATTGGTTAGGATGAATATCCCTGAGCAGTTGTCAGCGTTGCTGTCTACAGGCCATTAAATATATTCAGGAGCTTTTGGTGTTTTCATGGACTTAGGGTTGTAGTTGGAGTCACTCTCTGATAGGTCTCAGCCCTGGTTCTTAGGCTGTGTGCCTGCCACAGCTTCCACAAAAGCCCTCACCTTCTATTTAGTCACCAGCACACTTAGTTTCAGGTGTAGTGCAGTTCTCCTTGTCTTCTTTCACCCTGAGATTTCAGCAGTGTCTGGGGGTCAGGAAAGGCACTGATAGCACCTATCTGGCATTCCCTTTCCACTTCCTGTGCCCATGCAGCCCAGCTACCATGGTTCTCTAGATTTCTCTCAGGCTTGTGTTTGCCATTGTGCTTGGTGCCTGGGTGAGGTGGACAAAAGCCTGATCCAGGACTGTCTCTTCCCACCCCTCTGTTCCGCTTCATTCCCTGAGTATCTCTCTAGGCTAATTGCCCCAGTGCCCCTTGCATTGGAGACCAAAGCTTGAATCTGGACTCTTGTCAGTCAGCAATCACAACTTCTAGCCTCCCACAGTCCTGCATGTTTCTCTCTCACTTGAAATTACCACAACGCCTGGGATCCATTGTATGAGTATCTCAGTCTTCAGATCTGTGTGTCCCAGTGGGTTTGTCACTGGTTTCAGCCCGGACTGAAGTCAGTGGTGGTAGGGCAAGCACTAAGCTTACTTTCTTGGAGGATTTTGGGCATTTCACAAAATGGCACAGTTTGCAACCCATGTTGAGGTAGAGCAGTTGCTTCATTTCTTATTCTAGCTTCTTCTGTTTCTATATTTCAACAGTTTGCTGTCTTGTTCAGGTTGTACTTCCGTAGGGTGGGGGTTGATACTTTCCTGTGCAGCCGTGTACATACTAACCTGAGTAAGTACCTCAGAGCGATGTGTGAGTATCGTTTCCTCTAGACCACCATGATGGAATCTCCAAATTCAACTTTTAGATTTGATATACAAGTAAAATTTGGCATTCTGTGCCTGCTTTATTTCACTTAGCGTTAATGTCCTGCATGTTTGTCCTTGCTGTTGCAAAGGAGAAGTTTCATTTTTAAAGGTTGAATAGTATTCCATGGTGTGTATATGCCACCGTGTCCATTTGCCTATTGATGGTACTTAAGTTGATTTTATATGTTGGGTATTGTAATGTTGTAATGAGCATGAAAGTTCAGATGTCTCTGACATTGATTCATTTCCTTTGAATACAGACATGGGATTGCTGGGATCTGAACATCTTCATATATAGTACTTGGAGACAATTATATCTTTTCTACTTAAGTTCTTTGCCCATGTTTTCAGTCAGTTGTTGGCCAACCATGTTTTAACAATATGGGTCTTTTCCCCTTCTTATAGTGTCTCCACAAAGTAAAATTTAGTAAACTAACATCATCTACTCCTTGTTTTTAAGAGTAATATCTTGAGATAAAAGGGAGAACAAGTGAGTAGAAGTTCTGACTTGCTAAGTATAATAGAGAAGCTAAACATTCCGTAATTTGTTCTTTAAGTACATAAACATCAGCCTGCCAAGATAAAATAAGTATAATGTGGCAGAAAAGATACAGGATTGATTTTTACATGTCATACAGAATTATTCAGCCACACCTTGCTTATATAGTATAATCAAATAGTGTATTAAGCAGATAAGCTTAGAGAGTTATAATGCTGCATAGAATTTAGGCTTACCTAGTTCACAAAGTTAATAATGCTATGTCAAGCAAATGTGATTTCAAGTTTTTTTTTCTTTTATTTTGTTTTTCTTCATATTTGTAGTGCGAGTTGCAGGAATGTCTTATTCATCATTTAGGCTCAGTAACGTAGAATAGTGCTAATCATATAAATGATCCCTAGAATGGATGGATTCTTCATGAATTCTTCATATAGTCAATGAAAGCAGTTTTTCCCATCTTCTGTATTGTTTGTCTACATTGAGCCTGTGCTTTCTTTTTTCTTTTTCTTCATTCTTATCATCTTACCAGTGTGCTAATGATAATTGAGCCATTGCTCCATAGAACAGGTCTTTCATTGACTCTCATTCCTTATTGCTGTGTAAATAGGATAAATAGGGCCTGACGAAGAAACTCATTATTGTTCTTTCTGATCTTTGCCTCTAAAACATACCATTCATTGTCTTCATAAAAGAACTTATAATAGTCTCCCCAAACCAAGTTTTCCAGTATTGCTCATCTTTTTCTTTACTTTCTGTCTTTCTTTTTTTTTTTTTGGTACCAGGGATCAAACTCAGGACCTTGCACTTGCGAGTCAGGCATGGTGCCACTGAGCTAAATCCCCGGCCCCCAGTACTGCTCATCTTAGTGACTATTACTATACTACCAACCATCCATGTGTATGCCGAAAAATTTTCCTTTCCTTTTCAGAGTCAGTCTACCATCTCTTAGATACCCTTCTGATCTGCTATTGCTCTAGTCCAAGCTACAGTTTTCTCTTATTTGGGTAAGTGCAGTGGCTGCCTAATGGATATCCATGTATCTCTCTGAAATCTCATTAGGCAGAAATGTAGAAGTTATAGTACATCCCAAATAGCAGTATTTTTTTTTTTGGTAGCGGGGATCGCACTTGGAATCTTGCACTTGCGAGGCAGGCGGTGGAACCACTGAGCTAAATCCCTGGCCCCCAAGTAGCAGTATTTAATTTTCTATCTGACTGAAGTAGTTCAACTCTTTTCTTTTTTGTTTTCGTTATTATATAGTTTTACCTATTGAGGTGTAAGAAATTACTGTTCATTTGTATCATCTTATTGAGTATCTATTATATGCCAAGAGGAGTTTATATGTATACAGCATTAATCTTCATGTTAGTAAGTGAAATATTTATTTCCCTTTTAGGAATAAGGAAATACCTGTAGAGGCTGAGAATTACTAAATGGTGGTGGTTTTTAAAAATATTTTTTTAAGATTACATTTTTTCCAATTTGAGAACTTGGGGATGCCTGAAAATGTGCTTTTATTGATTCAAAAATTTTTTTTTAAGTTTATTATATCTTGGGCAACAGTCTATAGACACCTTGGCATTTCAGTGAACAAATACTGTAAAACCAAAAATATTCTTTTGGAGCTTCTATTTTCTTGAGAGAATACTGGCTTATGGATGTGGCTGTAGACTAAAAATGACTTTGTCTGCCAGGGAACTTTAGAACTGTGAACATATGCCTGTTTTGACAGGGGAAAGGGAGCTGTAACATTAACTTACCTGGGCTCTACATGGTGCCTCACTAGTGTTAAATGTTCTGTCAGCCCAGCTGGGATTGGTTTTAGCAGCCATTTCAAATGTCCCGGAGGCCACGCCCACATCCACATATTTGCTAGAAGAACTCTTGGAACTTAGCAGATAGCGTACTCATGACTGAGATACATTAGAGAGACAGTAAGGATTCACAGCCAGATCCTAAGGGGAAAAGGCAGAGTCTAGAATGAGTAGCTGGCTTCCTTATGTTTTTTTCCCTCACCAGAGGGGTCACACCAAGCTTACTTTTTTTCTTTCTTGAGTGAAAATGCAGCAACATGTGTTCAGGGGAAATTTTTTTGCACCAGGGCTTTTGAAAAATAGCAGCCTCAGTCCTGCTATGTTAATTCTTTTATGCTTTTGTACCTAATTGTACAAATTGGAGATTGTGGGGTGGCCTGGAGAGAAAGAAAGACCATTGAAATTTACATATCATCTTTCCTACTTTGCTTTGAGTATTGCTGTTTTAAGGAAATGATCCTAAATTCAAGCAAAACCGTTTCAACAGTTTGGTTGAAGCACTATTTTCAGTAGCAAGAAATTAGGAGCCCCTTGAATTACCAGTTCTAAGGGGATATGAAATATGTTACTCTACATTCGCTTAATGGAGTGTTAGGTAGCTGTGAAAATAATCAAGAAAACATGTCATCATATGGAAAATTGATTTTGTGTAATTGGGAAAAAGGATACAGAAAAGCATAGAAACTTGATGGTATGGATGATCGTCATACAACTTTTCCTGGCTCTGAAATTTCCAAATGCCTTTAAAACACAAATTTCCTCACAAAAAATAAGAAAAGTTTTTATTAGGAAAGTTTTCAAACATTTATTGAAGTAGGGTGGATTTGGCAATTGAGTCTAATGTATCACCA